TGTTGTGTTCTGTACTGTTATTTTTTTACACTGATGTCTTATTTGGTTCCCCTATATTCCTGCTATAAGTGAAACCATCCAGTATTTTTCTTTTTCCTTCTGACTTATTTCACTGAGCATAATTCCTTCTAGCTCCATCCACGTTGCTGCAGATGGCATGAGTTTATCTTTTTTGATTGCTGAATAGTATTCCATTGTGTATATATGCCCCATCTGCCTGATCCAGTCATCTACTTTTGGGCACTTAGATTGTTTCCAGGTTTTACCTATTGTAAATAGTATTGTGAATTGCAGGTGCCCTATTGTTCCCTATGACCCAGGGAGGAAAGTGTGCGCACACTATTATCTGAAATCCCTATGCTAGCACCGTTTCTGCCCTGCCCAGTTTTAGGCCTGTGCCGCTACTGCTTGCAGCAATAGCCACAGCACCGTCTGCTATTACAGACTATCAAACACCAAACCCTGCTTCTGTAGAATAGATGACCAGTGACACTAACAAAGTCATCAGCAGCCGTGCTTTTTAAAGTCTAGGAGTGCATGAGTACTTAGAGGCATGATCCACGTGAGGAAAAAAAAAAAAGCCTAAAAGAAGATTGCCAATCACATGACAGTACAGATGGCAGAGAACCTATGCTTTGCCATCACTAAAATATAATAGTTCCTCTGAAATTCTGAGTGGTATAGTTTTATAGGTGATGCCATATAATCAGACTAGCTAAAGGGAAAACAGTGCTATAAAAGTCAGTAATCAGCTGCTGTGTTAAAGGTGTCTATACACAGCAAATAGAAACCCACGAGAATGAGTTAGACAAAACCTCCCTCCTCCTCCTTCACTTACTTTTTCATCGTGTCCCCCATAATCAGTACAAATCTATAATTTACAAACATTTTTGTAATTCTCTATACATGAGTTTGAAGGAGTCAGTGTGTCTTGGAAATTTTTATCTTCAGGGAGTCACACAATAGGACCTGACTCCATGCTACTGGAAATATCAGGCTGCAAATGGAAAAAATAGGAAATTGGGAATTTTTTATTATATTTCAAAAGTATGCTTTTGAAAAGATAGAATACATTCGTAGTTCCTCCTAGGTCAAACACTAAAAATGTTCAGTTGTCCCAGTTTCACAGGAAGTGTTCATCAGGTGGAGACTGAGTTTATAGTTCGTGCATAATCTAAACTCACCAAGAGGAGGACACACAGAGCAATGACTGTCTCAGCTCCTGAGAAGGCAGAGAAATCAGGGTTGACTTGAATCCAGCCATCTAGTATCAAGCACTATCAAATAAAAGGGCTCATTAAGCCTTTAAGAGCTGTGATGAAATGCTCTGTGAATTTTTAAAATAAAGCCTACTATAAATCATTCTCACAATTCTTTAAAACAATCACTGAATAGGTTTCATAAAAAATGAAACATCAGAGCCTAGGTCATAAGATCTTAAGACTGTAGCCCTAACATCCTCATGCTCTGTAGTTTTTGATACTGTTGTGCTTGGTTCTGCCTGGGAATGGGAGGTTTGCTTTAGGAAATCTGCCAGACCACATATCCACTTTCTGCCACTTTTCACCCATAGGAAGCATCTCAACTGATTTGAAATTTTTTATCTGGAGGCAGATGAGTGTATCATTTCTCCTACTATTGCTCAGAAACAGCCAGAATATATGATGACTGAATTGCTTACATTAAAATCAAAAATCATAAATTGAAAAATCTTTTGAGAGCTTATAACTCAAATAATTACAGAATTTAGAATGCTTAGTGTCCATTATAATGCTTTACATATAATTTTATAATTATATAGTTTAGTTCTATTTTATTTGAATAACCAAACTATGAAGATAATATTCACACTAGTATCTTCAATTCACAGATGAGGCAGTTAATACGAATAATATTAGATAGATGACTATATAGATAGAGTCCATTAATCAAACCACTGATATAGACTTGAATTCTAATGACTTTTTTCAATTGCGACAATCCTATAGGATAGTTTAGAAAACCTTTGTGTTCATGTTGTATTTAGCTGATGAGGGGAAAAAATGCTCATACTACAAGGCATGGGCACATATAACTAGGAAGAAGTATTTCATGTTAGAATTGTATATATATTTATAAACTTATATTATCTGTTTATGTACACAATTATATATGCCTGTTTTAACATGTTTACATATTTTACAAATTTACATGCTATCCAGTATTTACATAATATATACATAGTTGAATGCATTCACATAAATTTACGTGTACTGTCATTTGCAACATCTACAATTGTGCGTTTATTAATTTACATATTTAAATAAATTCATAAGTATGCACATTTGTGCTTAAGTATATCTACATATATTTACAAGTCCTATTTCCAGTCATACGTTCATTTAACATGTACTTATTCAAAGTTCTGCAAATATATTCAGTCTTGCATTTGCATAAGTTTACACCTAATCACGTTTTATGTATCTGCAATATACATACACTAGCATATTTGCATACACTCAATTTCATATATTTTGATCTGTCATTTACATATATGTAAACCTACACATACAATTTGTAAGAGCATAGAGTATGCAAATCATCCCATGAAACTAATACTATATATTTGCATATGCAAATGAGTAGTATATCCATGTAGACATTTACATGTATTTGTAAAATAATCTAAGGTGCATGCAAATCTGTTTCAAATGCATATACTCTTTGCATACACAATAGTACATGCAAATATAGCTCTGCATATACAAATACATCTAATCACATGCAAATAATTTGCATAGCCACATCTGCATATGTATCACCTGCATGGCAAAACAAATATATCTAAATATGCAAATGATATGTCAACATGCAAATACATGCACACAAATAACCAACCACGCAAATGATGTAATTCTATGCTAATGTATGCACATAAATGCAAAATTAGAGCATGTGATTGAGCATGCAAAACAAATCATGGAAATCTAGACATTCTGCAGATATATGCAAATATGCAGTGCATTTGCATGTTTGAATATTCATTTATCATGTGATTGATTTGCATGCCCACGTGGTTTGGCCACGCCCACATTTTATCTTTTTTGAAATATATGTTGGCTACATGCCAAAATTTGTATGCATTCATGAACATGCATATATTTCCATGGTTTTTGCATTCATGCATAATTTTTGCATGTATGGATATAAATCTTATGGTATGCATAAATTTGCATATGTTGGCATATGTGTTTAGTTGCATGTTTTTGTATGAATTTGCATGAATCCAACCAATGCATAAATGCATGTATTTGCATTTATCTGTATATATTTGCATGTGCACTTGTGTTTGCAAGTTTATTGGGTCAGAGTTGTGTTTAGGGAATGTTTTTGCATATTTTTCTATCGTATGACACATTTTGTATTCATCTGCATATCATTTGCATTCATGCATTAGCATTCCACTACATGTTATTTTATATTTGCATGCATTTGTGTGCATGTATTTGCATACTTTTTTGCATATTCATGTTATTTTGCTAGATTTTATTTCTGAATATGCATATTTTGGATTCATGTGTTTACACATATTTGCCTGCATTGCATGTTGAATATTAGCATATATTTACATGTTCAATTGTTTACATCTAATTCATGCACTTGCTGTAACTGCATGTTTAGCAGCTATATATCCTGCATTGGATTCACATTTACATTTTCATATATTGTATATGCAAATTTGTATATCTGTTCATGTTTACACCATTGCATCAATTTAACTTCCCTTTTACCTATATTCTCATATTTATGTGAACTGCTAAATGTTTTGTCATTTGTATCACTGACTTGTGTATATAAATATGCATTAACAATACCTTTTATATCATGCATTTTATACATGTTCTATAATTTCTGTATTCCTCATTCTGGGGAATATTATCTTGGCACCTGAGTTCCTGCTTGTCATTTAGGTGTGGGGTCATGCAGGGGACCTCTCCCCAGGGCAAAAATCCTGGTTTAAGGAAGATACTAGGAAAGCAGTATCTGCTGAAAACAGCAGGCAGATATTAGAAGAGGGACAATGTGCAACTAGCAGGAACAATGGAGCCCTCCAGGCAATAGGCCCTGGTCACTCCACCCTAATTTACATCCCTATCAACTGCTTCCCCAGGTATGTACACTCCCCCTTCTGTACTGGATGTTAATCTGAGACTCCTTTTGCATGGGGGCTGCTCATTACTTCAGGTGTAGCCCCTCTAGGCTTCTCATTGCTCCACAGGGACTTTGAGTAATCTCTCTCATCCCACGCCACTCCAAAAGCTGTCCTCCCGTTACAGTTATAGTCAATCTAGAATTATTTTGCATAAATTGTGTAACTTTTCCTCGTACATAGTGTTTTGTGTTTTTTAATTTTACTGGGACTTAGTCTCCATTTTTCAAATTACCATGCTTGAATTATGGTTGGAACTGTTTATTATATCAACTAAGAAGTAACTGATATCTGAAAAATATCCTATCTTCCAAATGAATCTAATTCCTATAAGTTTTCCTTTTATTTTTACTCTTTATAATACAAATATTGAGCAAAAATACTCGTTATTTTTTATATTACAGTTTGTATTTCCAATCATTAACTAGTACTATACGGGAAAAATTATTTTTCTATTTTGGTGCCATATCCTGAAACCTTGCTAAACTCACTGTTTTAAGAAACTTTAGATTTTTGTATTTTCCACCTAAATATGTGTCTTCTATAATTTTCAAACAATTATTCCTTTTAAATTTTCTTTCTTGCATTTTTAACATTTCTTAGAATTTTCCATCAAACATCAAGGAGAAGAAATTGATAGTGTGGGAAAAACCCTGAGCTCCTCTGTCCCTCCCATGAACACACTGAAAACACACCTACCTGTGGGGAAATTCCCTCTGAAAGATTCAACTACTTTCTGACTCATTATCAACAGAATAATAACTTAAGTACTTAGACTAATTTGTTAGAGGAGGCAGAAATGCAGTCTTACCAGGAATCCCAGCACAGCCAATCAGAGAGGAAGGAGGCTTACAGGTCCTGAGATTCTTCCTGTAGAACAATGCCCACATTGGGCACCCCAACTTAGTGACCCATGCCAGAGATCCACCACCACCGCCAACAAAAAATAAATCTTGCCTTGAAAACCAAAGGAGGGCCTCCCTGGTGGCGCAGGGGGTTAAGCACTGCACTATGAAGCAATCCACAGCCTCTGCAGCACGAGCTCGATACTTGGCTGGCCAGGGAGCAACCCACATAGTGCAGCAGACCTCTCCTGTCTCACCTGCTGCTCCCCTCAGCACTGTCTTCAGTCTGTCTGCCTGTTATGCTCCCCACCCTGTCTCTGGTGAATCCTCTCACCCCACACCCATCTCTGGCCTGTACCCCAGCTCATGTATGCATAAATAAAAAAAAAAAAAAGAAAAGAAAACCAAAGGAGATTACATCCAGGGCTCTGGAAAATGGAGATATTCTTTTTAAAGAATGTTCACACTAAATATTTGCTTTGAAACGCATAATGGAGAGGGCAGTTTTAAAAGAGTTGGGACTGTGTATATATGAATTTCATTTACTGAGCTTGGATGACTGTTGAAGAAGCCATGCAACTTACTCTAAGAAGGAGGAATAGGAAGAATATGTATATGTACTTAGGTTTCTTTGTCCTTTTTGAAGTGAAAAATATAGTCATCTGTGTTTTTCTGAAAATTCATCCCATATTTCTTACTGTCCTTGAGAAAAATCATCCTAGGCAGTATTTTTTCCTGAGAGGTGGTAACAGCAAGAACTTAAGAAAGGCACACATCAAAAACAGAATAAAAACCATCAGGTCTGACCTTTCACACTCCTTGAACAACAAGATGACATGGAAAAATGTGGGATTTATTATCTGTAGTAAACCATTCTTAATTATAATGCATATTTATAAGGCAAATGATCATTTATAAAGTTGTGAGATTCAGCAACTGATCTAGAAAGGTCATTAGAATTTATTTTTATAACATTTGAAAAGTGTTTTAATTGGCTTTCATGTCATTTAAACAATGACCCATGAGCAACTGAAAATTAAGTCTAAAAGACCAAGAAATTTCCAGTCAATTTCTCCTAAGGTTAAATCAGAACCACAACCCAGAAGATTAGAATCCACTCAGAATATTAGTTCAATTGAAGAGTAGAAAGCAGAAATATCTCTTCTCAAACAAGTTCATCATAGACTTATATTCATCCATAAAGAATATCTTTTAACAGTAGAATCACTTTTAATTAGCTTATATAGAATTAGAGTATGATTATTTTTACTGTGTGCATGGGAGTAGACGGTTGAAAGCATGTCATGTACCTCCATGTTCCTTGCAGCATTCTTTACAATAACCAAGAGCTATAAACACTTAAATGTCCACTGAGAAATGAATAATGAAGATGTTATATATACACTCAACAGAATACTATTCAACTATATAAAAGATGAAGCCATACCATCCGCAGAAACATGGATGAAATCTGTGTTTGGTGAAATAAGCCAGAGAGAAAGATAAAAAGCATATAATGCCACCTTCTGGATCTTAATGTCCACAAATAAAATATGAAGAGTGACTGGAATATTACCAGGTCAACTTCAATAAAAAAGATATATTAGACTCATGTGACAAATTGCCACAAACTTAGTGACTTAAGACAGTAGAAAGTTATCCTCTTATAATTTAAAGGTTGTAAGTAGGAAGTCATATCTCTGGATCAAAATCAAGGTATCAGTTGTTCCCTGTTTAGCCTCTAAGAAAAAATCAGCTCCTTACCTCTTCCAGCTTCTGGTAGCTTCCACCATTCCTTGGTTTGTGGCAGCGTAACCCCAATCTCTCTTCACAGTGGGGACACAGCCTTTTCCTCCTTTGTATGTGTCAAGTTTTTGCCTTTTATGAGGACACTTGTGATTGTATTTAGAATCTACCCAGACTATCCAGGATATTGTCTCAAAATCTTTAATCATACTTGCAATGGCCATGTAGAATCAGTCTTCCAAAACTGTTCATGTAGGTTTCTTCTGAAATGTATATATAGAGGAAATCAATACGTGTATCAAGGCATTGTGAACCTCAAGAGAAACTGTTAACTTTAAAGAATATATATTACCTAGATTTATGGATCTCTACAGAAAGAACCTTTTTATAGGCAAAACCTACTTTAAGGTAGGACAAACATCTAGAGATTAAGGTTTTGCCATATGAAGTCATCCCCTTCTTGTCATCCCTGACCCTGGTGGAGATAAATTTTGGTTTGTCTCATTAACAGTCTATTATTTTTTCTACATGTTATTAAATTTGAACTTTTTCTCATATAAATCTCTTAAGTTTGTTCATCCACCCTTAGAAGAACCTATAGGGATAGAGAATTTTACCCTGTGCCTCAACACTTTACCCAAATAGGTAAGTATTTATAAGTGATATAGCAATTCAGGGACAATTATCCAGCTACCATAGAAGGCAAAATACAGATCAGGCATTATAGCTCTTTTACATAGCAGTGAAGAAACCTGTTTTCTGGTTACACAGTATAGGAGCAATTATTATGCTTGCCAGAGTAAGGAGCTAACCTATCTTGTAAAGTAGCTGATTAAAACAGTTCTAGAATTTATGATATCTGGCCTATTTTCCACAACTAAGATCATGATAGTTTGGATAGATATGACCAGAGAGCATGCAAAAGAATTCACATCATGTATCCTTATCCCTTAAATGTCTTCATAGACATGGAGAAGCAATAAAAAATCAACAAATAGAATTGAGTCTTAGATTTGCATAGAAAATGATCTTAAATGAATGGACTTCATCACAGTTTATTGAGTCTCAGTCATTAGAGAAAACTAATGTATCCTTAAGTATATTTTATTGATGAAATATTTTAGATTAATAATATGGTAAATGTGATTTAAGTTTCTAGTTGCTATAGTAAAAGCCAATAGTTTGTATGTATAAAATGGAGGTCTAGCAAGGGTAGGTCATTCAAATAAACAGTCTTAGACCAAACCTTAACACCCAAACACAATCATTTCTGTTTTCCTGCTTTTTCTTTTCTATCTAGTTTTCAGTAAATAGTTGTATATTTTAACTTGAATATATAAGCTATATGACTATTTCTCTTATCTCCAACTTTCCAGTCTTTAAAAGAAAATAATTTATATAAACATCAAAGACTTATGCTATGTCAATTAGGCACTATCTATGTAAGTATAAGATGTAAATTAAAAAGTTTTCTATTTCCTGATCCTTTATTCAGTTTCTATATATTCCACATAGAAGTGAAATCCTCCAATTTATCTTTTTCCTTCTCACTTGTTTTGCAGAATCCCTTCCAGCTCCATCCATGTTGCTACATATGGCATAAGTTTATCTTTTTTGCTTGCTGCATAGTATTCCATTGTGTGTGTGTGTGTGTGTGTGTGTATATATATATACACCACATCTTGAGCCATTCATCTTTTTGTTTGTTTTTTTAGATTTATTTATTTATGCATACAAGAACTGGGGAGGTGTGGGGACTGGGAGGATTCACCAGAGACAGAGTGGGGAACAGAACAGGCAGACTGACAGAAATACACTGCTGAGGGGAGCAGCGGGTGAGTCAGGAGAGGTCTTCTGTGCCATGTGGGCAGCTCTTTGGCCAGGGATCGAACGTGTGCTGCAGTGGTTGCAGACAGCCTCATAGGCTGAGTTTTAATCCCTTGTGCCACCAGGGAGGCACTCGAGCCATTCATCTGTTTTGGGACATTTGTCTTTCTATCTTGTCTTGCAAGCTGACATAGATCTGAGGCATATAGCACGGGAGGAAGAGAGGACAGGAGGGAAGAGACCATGGGACAGGAGGGTGGAGATGGATTACCGGTGCTATGGTGGTGGGACAACTAACAACTATGGGGACTACACGTAAGGGGAGAAATCAAATACTGTCCAAAAATTAACAATTATGTAAAAAAATTAAAAAAATTAACTTTTCTAGAAAAAGAACTACTTGATTATGATGTAATGACTCATGAGTTATTACCTTAGGTACGGAATTTGCTGTTGTAGAAAAAATACTTTCAATAGAACTGGTGAGGATCTCATGATGTTAATGTATATTAAAATATAAATTGTCAATCAGAAGGTCCTCATACATCAGATGAATTAGAGAAATACACTTAAATTTATTCAGTGTAAATATATTTTGATATATCCACCTAACATGTATTTTTCTAGATTTTTTTTCCATTTAATAATTTCCTGAGTTTCATTTGTTCCCTGACTTAATGATACACATTTTGAAAGGACAGCTTTTTTGAGCATTACTTTAAATAATGGCCATCCTATTTTTCCCTCAGTACAAATTAAATTTTGTTTTTAAAATGTTCAACTGACTTGTCTTTAATAGCTCACTATTAATGAAGCTGAGACTAACGTTACCAATGATTACCTTACTGTCCATCTCTGAACTTTTATTAAGGAAAGAATAGCAATTCATCATGATTGCATTTGTTAGTGAATATTCAATGAGATAAAAAGGACTAGTTTATTAGAAAATAATACCTTGCTGTAAAAGGATACTTGTAGCAAAAACATGGCTTTGAATAAATAACAGATTTGAGACATAGTGGATTCAAGCATATTTGTGTATCTAATAAAATTGGGGAATTTGTTTCTTTAGTGATAATATATCCTCATTTACATTGTGAAATATGTTCTGTTTATTTGACATTGCATCCAACTTAATTTGATTTAGCAGAAACTCCAAAAATTTATTCATTCATATTTGTAAACTTCGTTCAAGCAATAAACCAGCCCATATGGCATCCCATAAGGACCTTGAAATGACAGTGAGACTATAAACAGGACAGATTACATTGTACCTATTTGCATAGTTGTAGCCTTTTCCAAAATAGAGAATTAATTTCATAGTAGACACAGAACTATGAGTCTGAGTTGACAGCAGTTATATTGATGTACAATGAATAAGTTAACATTTCCTTTTCAATTTATTATTTAAATATATTTTTCCTATCTGATCATCAGCATATCCATTATTTACTTTTTATTTTAGAGATCAAATTTGATTGAAAGCCAATCAGGAATTTTATTTATAACCTACTTTTGTAAATGTATATATAAAATATATATAATAGTTTATTATCTAAATAATCATGTAGATTTAGAACAGATATTGGTATTCCTATTTTTGTTTTAAGTAAACACTACAACTCAGATATTTACTAATTTATTCAGGGGAACAGGTTGGCAGAGTCCAAATTCCATTCCATGTCTTCTGATTTAAAATCCCTTTCTTGTTTCATTTTCAGTCTCCCACCTAAGCCTAACATTCATTATAGCTCATTAGCTTTTTGGTTTGTTCTGGCCACTTGCCTCTCCCACATACCAAATTTCACTTTCCTCAAGCCCATGCTGATAGCTTTCCATCTCTCAACAAAACACCCTACTATCTACTTCGTAAAGATCTTTGAAAATACCAGGCACAAACTCCATGCATTTATCATGTCATACATAATCTCGTACCATTCCTTTTTTCCCCTTTCAACATCAGAGGATAGTGTATCTGTTCATAATGATTTTTGCAACTGTGTCTTTAATATGATCACCCTCATCTTTTTTTATAACAGTTGTTTTTCTTTCTTCTATTCTTGTCCCTGTAGGTACTGAATTCTCATCGCCATTTAAAGGAAGATGGGGGGGGGGCAAAGAAAATGACAGTAGGAGAAGAACCCAACATTGGCCCTACCAACTAATTTATACTTTTTTTCTGTAAAATACCAGTTTCAGGAGAAAATATCAATTGCTCCACTTCTCCATCTTCCATTTACACTTCAAGCCACTACACTCAGGCACCACTCAGTGATTTCTTAATTGCCAATACAAGACATCTTTTCACCCTCTTTCCTCAAATTCTTTGCAGCATTTGGCACTTCATTGATCTCTTCCTCTTGAAGGCTCTTCTGTGACTCCAGTTTACCTCTTCTGACTCTTGGTGCTTCCAGAACTGTGCCCTTGACTCTCTTCAATTTTGACATTTCATATTGCCTCTAAAGTACTTCCTCCAGTCTTTCATCAACAACTATCACCCAGAGTGAGTGGCAGGAGTAATTAAATTTTAGGGTCCCCTGACCTGCTATAGAATTGCCACTAAAAAAATAGGTATGCTGCTGTGTTCTATGTTTCCCAGTTGAGAAGAATTGCCAAAGTCATGTGAGCATACAGTGCATCTTTGGCTTTTAACTAGTTCAGCTTCTCCATATACTCTTATATTAGAATGACATTTCCACACCGCTGATTCTCTTCTACCTCTATTTGCCTGGTCAGTGCCTACTCAATTTTAAGACTCAGGTAAATGTCACCTTTCCACCAAAAAAATTCCTTTTCATTACAGAATCCTTATACACACATTGACCTTGGTTCTTAGCACACTATACTTGTCTGACTTAGTTTACTATCGACCTTTCAAAGCCAAAGAAACCTATTATTTATCCTGATCCCCCAATATCTAGCATAGTGCCTAATACATAGTACAAATTAAATGCTTTTTATGTGAATGAATGTGTAAACAACTTTTTCTGGCTCCACAGTGTAAAATTTCTAATAGAAACTGAGTCAGTGTGTTTACAGAGTTAATTTTGTTCTCTTTATAATGTCTCTCTCTTCCAATATCCTACCCTATGTAAAATGATATGAAGAGTTTTTTGACAATATAGGAAAAAGTTCAGGAATTTGGCATTTTTCACATCACATTTAAAAATAATGTGAATGACTACTAACATGACTACCTTTAGCATATTATAATAAACAACTGAAATGCCATTCATGCTGCAATTTCTATTTACAAAGATAATTACAATTGAAGTAGAATGAGGGAGTGGTTCCTTTTCCATTATTGCTTCTAACATAATTTACAACTGTGTTTATGTGTCTTTACCTACATTCTCTCAGGAGCACTTTATGGAAGGAAACATTTTAAAATCAGTAAAAAGAAATTCAGCAATTCTTTTGGGGCATGAACACCCACAAAAAATAGATTTTCTTGCTTTTTCCAATTTTTAATGTGTTAGGTCAATCCATAGGATGGATTTTTCTTGAATTTTTGAGACTATCCAAAATCTCACCATCAACTACAAATTTTGTAATCATTTACAATGCTTTGTTAATCAGTTGAGCATAACCAATATTTATCAGGAGGATCTATTCTGTTTTGTGCTAAATTTACTCATTTTTTTTACTTCATAAATAAAAAAAAGATAAAGACACAGTACAAATGAAATATCTATTCCCTAAAAGCTATTGATCATTGGTCCATTTGTTATGAGATGACTCAGTTTAAAGTGTGACTTTCATATTCAACAGACAATGGGATTTATCTGGACCTTATGAACAGAAATGTGGAAAAGTACACAGCAGTTTGTTTGATCTTGTGATTCATTTCCTAAATGATTTTGCTGAATGTTGCTGCTGTAGAAGCATAAATTTGGTTTATAGCAAAATCTTCATTTATTTTATGATATTTTTATATTTTCTGCAGTATTGCCCCCTGTGAATTTAAAATACTCTTTCAGCTTTATTGTTTGTGTTCGCATTTTGGCTGATGGCTATAAATTATACTTGATTTAAAGTATATAATATATATTCATCATTTTTGATGTTCTTGTGCTTTCCAGAATGAGAAGTGGAATTGGAGGTCACGAAGATTTGAACTTTATTGTATTAACACTCAAGTTACAGAATATATTCTAAGCGGTAAATTAAGGTCACCTCAACTTTGAGGTGAAAACAAATCACCAAACTGTGTCACTATTTGGTAGTTTTTCATTTTGATATCAATAATCACACTGAAGCTATATGTACTAAGCTTTAGGAAACTTGGTAAGAATCCCATTTATATATATACATATATATGTTCCTTCCATCTTTTTTTTTTGGTGAACAATGTGTTTGTATTTTAATTACATAGAAATACTGTATACTGAAACTACAGGAACAGTTTTGGCTCTTTGATTAGTCTGATTGCTTTAGATACAAGTAACAGAGTACCTAACAGAAAGTCAAATTATAAGTTCTTATAAAGGTATGTATGACTTCTTGTAAAGGTATGTATGTTAGGTGGTCACTTAGTATTATCACCAAAACATATGGTTTCTTTCCATTTCTTAATTTTCTTGTCCCTCACTTTTTGCTTATCCTAGTGGTGGTTCTCCTTGAAAGTCAAAGATAATACACATGAAATTCAAGGACTTCATGTTTCCTGGTTCCTAGTCAGCAAGGAAGAGAATGAGAGTCTGTTCCTCAGCATTCCCAGCACTATTCTAGGAAAAGATTAATTGAAAAGACTTCAATCTCTGTACAACTGTAGGGATGCTGCGTTGATAGGCTTACTGTAACATTCCTGAATCAATTAGTGGCCAAATAATGTAAAAGATGTCAACAATCAAATTTCATCTTTAAAAACAAGAGCTATCATTAGTCCTATAAAAATACAATAGTTGGGTCTCCCTGGTGGCACAAAGGGTTAAGTGTCAGTACTATGATGCAATCTGCAACTACTGCAGCATGAATTCGATCCCTGGCCAGGGAGATTACCCACACAGCACAGCAGACCTCTCCTATCTCACCTGCTGCTCCCCTCAGCAGTGTATTTCAGTCAATCTGCCTGTTTTGCTCCCCACTCTGTCTCTGGTGAATCCTCTCACCTCCCACATCTCTGGCCTGTACCCCAGCTCTTGTACACATAAATATTTAAAAAAATACAATAGTTGATATTGGTGCTAAAAGTTATTACTTTTACAACAATCAAATTAGAATACTTAAATCTAGAGAAAATATTACGAGTGACAACACTCCAGATGCCTAGCACGACATTTCTCCTTGAATACCATTTAACATGAAAACAGAAATGATTTGATATTTCCCCAACTATTTAAATGAATTATATCCAAATAGAATATGTTGATCCTAAAGCTATATTCCCTTATATTCATCCTGGTATCCACCAGAGGCTATAATTTCTATTTAAGCTGACGCGATTTCACTTAAGTAGATAATATTTGAGAAAATCCCTGATTTCTTAGTTGTAGATAGATATATTTATATTGAAAAATCCACTGGTAATTGATGTTTATGAAAGTATGTTAATTTTTAAGAGTTACAATTTTTTTTTAATGATATGTGGTGACAGACATCAATCTAGAGCGAAGTTTTAAAAATAAAATCTGGATATTTGCCTTCTATGTTGAGCAAGTAGCACTGCACCCTAATGATGCTGTCATGAGACAAATTTTATTACAAATCTATACAAAATACACATGGAGAAAACTACTGGGGCATCTGCATGCTCTTATTTCTCAAGGATGATAGTTTGTAATAAACAACATCTCCAAACTCACAGTCTATATGTGTACTAAGAAATTTTTGTTTCTCCAATTCATTATAACAGGAATGAAAAAGAAGTTTCTCAATTTCTTGTAGTTTCTCCTTGAATTTCCTAAGGATAAGTAATGGAAAATTTCAAGTTAAAATAAAAGCTATGCAAAGGTCCATGTATATGTAAGATGTTCAAGTTAAGGAGGCTGGGCAAAGAATTTTTAGAGGCTTTCCATACTATATGTAAAACTTCTATAAATCTAAAATTATCTCAAAATGAGTTTAAAATTTGCTAGTTTATATACTACTGACAGCCACTTAGAAAGGTTAAACAATTTGAAAATGCTTGTGTGATAGAGTGATTTATAATAATATTTGGTCTTTGTGCCCACCCCCACAAATAAAAAGCATAAAACTTGACCTAATAGATTACCTACAACATTTAATAATCATTAGTTGATTTCATGTAAATATACATACTTGCTCTAGTAGTCTTTTGCTTAATATTTTATATCTGAAGTGACCTATTGTGAAAATTCAAACTCTGTATTATCCTATATAAAATACCAAAACGTAAAGAAAGAATTTACATGTCTTAGATTTGACTCTACAGAGAGACAGACTTTCAAATTTTGTATTCTCTCTTCTCATTTCTTCTCCATTTCTCTAGTTAAATGAATATACTGACAAATATAAGGGTCCATTCAATCTGGTGATGTAGATCAAAGGGAAAGGATACCAGAGTTCTACTTGAATTTTTCTAGCTTCAAAACTTTAACAGTCACCTGGCAACGGCAACATATCTGAAAGGCTTCTAAAAAAACCTCTTCCAGTAGTTTTCCTTTCATCTCTTCGTGTACTCTGTTTATTCAGGCAACTGACCTTAAACTACAATTTGATTATTTAAAAAATCAATAGAAGAAATTGAGGAGAACTTGACTGTGTTCCTAGTGATTTATAGAGAGCTCAAAAATAGGGGTAAGCATCCTAGGTGGGAACTGAGGATCATCTTTAACACTTGAAGGAGTTGAGTTTTAGTTTAGAGGTAGGGAAAATAGGAAACTTAGTAGAGAAATAGTATAATCAAAAGGTTTTTTTTTTTTTAATAACCCAGTGGGCAAGAGTGACTGTAGCAAATATTTTGATAACCTGAAACATTGCCTACTAGGCTGAAAACATAGGATGGGCAAGAATGTGAAAGTCCTCACATGTTAGTGCCTGAATATTTTCTTGTAATAAATGGGAAAAATAATTTCATATTTTGGAAGAGGGAAATGACCTGAAGGTGTATGAACACAGTTCAATTTTAAGAGGATTGGATTGTGTTATATAAAGACATAGCACATACAATGGCAGCTTCTGACAATAACCATAGGAAGTTCCATCAAGGCTGTCATATTTTACATCTACTCCTATAAATATTACTTTACTCCCTAAATGATGGAGCAATACTGTCACCTTTCCTACAGAAGACAAGTATATAGCCTGGATTTTTAAATGATGCAAAAGGATCAGTGGACATAGTGTCAATAAAGGTATACAGACGAAACCATGATTCTCAAACTATTGTTTGTGTTTATGCCACATTTTTAGTGTAAGAAAAATTAGGTTTACACTTAGAGAGGAATGATATGACCTAAAATAACACTGGAGGGCCTCCCTGGTGGTGCAAGGGGTTAATCACTGCACTATGAAGAAATCTGCAGACTCTGTGGCATGGGTTTGATCCCCAGCCGGCCAGGGAGCAACCTACATGGCACAGCAGACCTCTCCTGACTCGCCCGCTGCTCCCCTCAGCAGTATACTTTGGTCAATCTGCCTATTCTGTTTCCGACTCTGTCTCTGATGAATCCTCTCCCCCACCCCGCATCTCTGACCTGTACCCCAGCTCTTGTATAAATACATAAATCTTTTAAAAAATAATAAAATAACAATGGAGAATCCACAATCCTATAAAGCTATTCAGGCCTGTGTGAATACAATTAACCATTCCTGAGGTCTGTGAGGGAAAGTTTTCAAATGTCTTTCTTTTCTGACAACTTGATGCTATCTAATGTCTTAATTCTCAGGTACACAAACGGTCCCTCACTGCAGCCTGTCTTATATACTCACCAATGTGATTTTTATGATAGGAATTGCTATAAAAATATTTCTTCTCAGTTGTCACAAAATCATTCATCTGTTGATCAAAATTTGACAGTAACTATATTTTTCTATATTATATATATATATATATATTTTTTTTTTTGTGGGACCCTCGCCGGCAGCCGGGGAACAAACCGGTGCTGCAGAGGCTATGGGCAGCCTCTCAGCCCAGCGCTCAACCGCTGCACCACCAGAAGAAGCCCTGTATTTTATATTTTTATGTATATTTTATTAGGTATATGGTACCTAAATTATGCTGATTATGCCCCTTTCAGAATACATGCATATGTATGTTATAAGTATATACTTAACATTCTATACATTATATATTTACCTTATATTTTTAACATTATATATATAACATTATGTATTTATCTTATATAAAATAAATTATTATATGCACATGTAAATTATTCAACCCTCCCTTCCCACACAAACACACATAATCTCTATTCCTAGAAAAAGGAACATTTATCTACAATGCTTTTAGTACAAGAGAAAGGAGTAATGTTCAGAGTAAAGAGGCAATAAGTCACTTCTATAGAGAGAAAGAATTTATCCTCACAAAAATACATGATAAATTTGGGATTTTTCTTAAAATTTACATGGTATGTTGTGATTACAGAGCATTTTTAAAATATGATTGATTTCATGCAACCTACTCTATTTTTAAAGCATATGTACTTGGAAGTCTGATAGACACAGGTTTGTTCGTGGGATTGCTCTATTAACAAAGTGTTCTGGACCAGTGAATAATTGGTTAGAGCCTCATTTACATCAGTTACAAAATGAGGGAAATACTAAATATTTGTCAGAGTTACAGTGAAGATTATAAATAGGTAGTACACTTAGCTTGTGGTTCTGACAATGTTACTCAGCTCTGACAGTGAGAGGTTAGTCTTAAACATTCTACTCATTGTGAAGATTCACCCTTACACCTTAGTTTTTGTAACTCAGACAGCCCTGGGCACCACTAAGCCTCAAACAAATAACTGAGTGAGGTTTATGGTCAGGCAACACTTCATGACATACCTGCGGTGGGAGAGTGGGGACAGAAATTTAGCTAGATGCTCAGAAATAAGAAAAAATTTAGGAAATTTGTTGAATTGTTTTATCTCATGAGTTTCCCCTTTTCTTACTCCTTAAGAAGGAAATCCAAATACCACTGGATAGAAAGAGGGTCTTAAGATTTATGCAAGTTTAGAAAAATTACTAATTTATGTATTACAGTTTGAATTTCAATTGAAGTATAATTAAAGATCTTATAAAACTGAAGTATTTTTACATTTAATGCATTCTCTACAAAGGCTTTTAAATTCTGGGATATTAGGTGTAGAAAAATATCAGTTATTACAGTTTGACTAGTGTTTTTTCAGTTATATATAAAAATTCAGTTTTTCTATTTCAACTTTGCTAATATCAGCTTAGTACTTATTTTCTCACAACACAAATAAGAATGATTTCAGAAGTGGTGGGTTTTGTAAGTTGCTATTAATTTGGCATAAATTTCAAAGACAGAAATATTAATGTAGGATAATCATGTTTCATCAAAATGTTTTAGTCATTGACAAATAAAATTTAAGATTTTAAGGCTGTAGATCTAATGTTATGATTAAAAAAATGTTAAGTCAATAGTTGACATATTTGTACATGTGTACTTAGTAATATCAATAGAATATCTGTATGTTAACCTAATTGGAAGTTACTCTATATTTTGTCATCTTCTATTGAGATACTCTTGTCAGTATCACAGGAAACTCTTGGTTCTAATGACAAATCCCCAAGGATGACAACTTAAGTGTCAAGAATATTTATCAAAAAATATCAGCTTTTAGGTATCTGAAAATTGAGCTCAAGACTGAATTTTACCTGGCCTCCCCCCATGGCACAGTGGGTTGAGTGCAGTGCTGTGAAGCTGTCCACAGCCTCTTCAGAATGGGTTCAATTCCTAGCCAACCAGGGAGAAACCCACATGGTGTGGCAGACCTATCCTGTCTCACCTGCTGCTCCCCTCAGCAGTGCTTTTGGTCTGTCTGCCTGTTCTGCTCCCCACTCTGTCTCTGGTGAATCCTCTCACCCTTCCGCACCTCTGGCCTGTACCTCAACTCTTGCATAAATATTTATATATCTGACATATGTGAGTAATAATTGAGATAAAAATTAAATGTGGGGCCTCCCCGTGGCGCAGTAGGTTGAACTCCATGCTGTGAAGCTGTCCGCAGCCTCTGCAGCACTGGTTCAATTCCCGGCCGGCCAGGCAGAAACACACATGGCACGATAGACCTCTCCTGACTCGCCCGTGGCTCCCCTCAGCAGTGTATTTCAGTCAGCCTGTTCTGCTCCCCACTCTGTCTCTGGTGAATTCTCTCACTTCCCATGCCTCTGACCTGTACCCCAGTTCTTATATAAAGAAAAATCAAAGAAATTATTAAAAAAATTAAATTTGATACTTCATTTCTTTTGTCAGTTATGAAGCAAATAAAATTCCCTTAATGAATTATGTATCAAGTTATTAACAAATTACTAACATTTTAGGGAGTAAAAATTTTTTCTGATATATCTTACTCTATGCCATTTACATAGAAAATATCTGAACAGAAGTTATTATCAAAGTGCAACAGAGTTCTATACATATAGAAAGCAATAAACTACAAATTTATGTAATGTTCAGTGTTTTATATGTATTAACATAATGTTTGGTATAACAAAGATATATAACATTAATTTTTATGACTACCTACACCTATTGAAGGCCAATGATATACCCTTACCAAAAAAAAAAGCTATATTTATTAATTTCAAAGATATACATCTCTTTTTTGATCAATTATATTTCAAAGGTCTACCTGAGGCTACATGATAGAAGATGAGAAATTTAGTATATTTAAAACACATTTTTGTCACTTAAACTTTTAACTTCTAATCATATTTCTTTATTACACAAGTTTAAAGAATATAATTTCATTCATACTATAA